CTCCTCGCGTTCTCCACGCAGCGTCTGCCCTCGCTCCTTCGCGCGGAGCGCAGCTTCTGGCGCCCCTCCTCCACCACCTTCTCCCTTCTCCCCCTCCTCCTTCTCCAGCCACTTCTCCCTCCTTCTCCGACGCGCGATTACATCTGAGTTGGTTTATGAACACAAAGCCATCGTGACAAAATAAGCAAATATCTCTGTACCGCCTGAATATGAGACAAACCGAGGTATTCAGTACGAGCGGGTGACATGTTACGGCAACGAGGGTGCCTGTCAGGCGTGAATATCTATTGCCGTGCTTCTGTCGCGAAGAGAGAGAGACGAGAGAGAGATATCGTCATTTCTATATTATTTTTATACCTACTAATTATTTTTTTACTATATCATGCATGATATATCACTTCCCAATACGTGAGTGGAGAGAGAGAGTGCAATACGGTGTCGTATTGCAATATATTGCAAATACGGTTTTTCGGTCGCAAATAGCTCACTCCCATACGAAAGATATATATATACTTACGGAAGTATGACGACCCATGGCAATAGCTCAGCTTGACGATGTCAAGGTGAGCTAAAAATCATGGGTCGGGGACAGCAAACATAGAATTTTTTAAGGATGGCCTAAACTCCACTCCATAACATTCATTAATATCCATGGTAACCATGGAACAACTTTTCAAATATGTCTATCATAATCATGCTACTTGAGCAGGGCCCTCCATAATATGACAGGATATTTCAAATTCTATCTTGCTGCCGAGTGGCTGAAGGTCATTTTGTGTAAAAATTTCAACTCCGTAACATGCCACTCCATAACAATGACTGTTATGGAACAATGACTGTTATGGAGTTGAGCTCTACTGTTACGGAGTTGTGATATGTGCTTAAAATGTCAAATATTTGTTTACAATATGATGTCAGGCCCTCTGCTCTTTAGGTCTTTTTTACTTTATATAGGACTACACAAAGTTGAAAACATATTTGTAGCTATAGTATCATTTCACTGGGAAATGGAATTTTAGTGATTTTGTTACGGAGTTGAAATTTGTCATTTTGTGTATGACCCTACTAAATATTTCAACTGTTGTTTACAATTATGATGTCAGGCCCTCTGCTCTTTAGGTCTTGTTCATTATTACTTTAGATAGGATTACACATAAATATTAATTTTGTAACAGATTATTATTTCAGTGCAATGGAATTTTAATGATTCTGTTACGGAGTTGAAGTTTGTGTTGAAGTTGTAGACCATTAATAACTTTCCAATAGCTCTCCCCCCACCTCATTGAGACTGTGTACATTACGGCACTCTTGGATAGATTTTGTTTCAATTTCAGGCATCTCAAAATGCCTTTGACTAATAGTGAAAGGCAACGGCGCTTTAGAGATCGCATCAAGGCAGACCCTGCTAAGAGAGCAAACTTCAGGGGTTTTTCCAGAAATTTCAACTCCGTAACAACATTTCAACTTCGTAACATCATTTTGTCGAATTCTAAAAATAAATCTACCAAATAAATAAAAATGATTTCCTCCAAAAAACCAACCTGAATACTATAATAGTCAAGTGTCTGGTCAGTTTTAAATTGTTTTATTTTTGTATGGATCATCATGGAAAATCCTTTCTTTGGAAATCGTTACGGAGTTGAAAGGGCCTAGAGACACCCAGAGATTAAATTCCCTCACCATTAAAAAAATTGGACGAATTAAGCGATGCTCAATTCCTGGTTGTACTCCTAAGTGCCTAGTCTACCTGTGATAAAAATGTAGAGGTGTTGCTTGCATGTTTTTTTCCTTAAAAATCAATTCCCCAACTTGTGCCCTTATTGAGAAAATTACCCATAAACCTTAAATGATAGAGTAAAATGTCAAAGAATGTGGCTCTAAACCAGAATGACTTATTTCTATACCCACAACACAGTCATCTATTTTGGTTGTCAGCAACAAGTTCAGGCCATTGCTACCATAACAACTATATTCTATGCTACAGTGTACTAAAACATTCAAACTTACAAGTTGGGTGAGACATACATGTTGCCTAAAATCAACTGTAAAAAATATTACAGCATTTCAGACAAATTCCTAAAACTACAAATTTTTCATATAAGTTGACAAATGCAGAGCTATTTTTCTGATAATTTTTCCCCTTTTTCTTCATTAAGAAGTTCTACTCAAGTTTCCTAGTTTTCCAGAATTTAAAAGATCTATTTTCCAAGGCTATGATATCTTAGCCAAATGAAATCTTTCCGCCTCACATCGTCTAATGACTGATTAGTGAACCTTTTGTATGAAGCAAATTTTATTACCTCGAATAAAACAGACATGTCCTCCATTTTATGGATATTCTCAGGTCAAGATTTGTCTTAACACATTTTTCAGGACCTTCCAGGACTTTCCCGTCCCATAACGCATTTTTCGGGGCTTAGCAGATGAGGAAATATTAAAAAGGCCAATTCTAGGACTTCCAGGAAGGTTTTCTATGTGTACGAACCCTGCGTGCCATCACATTTGCAGTCAGGTACAGAACTATGCTAGACCAAGTGCCTGTCGCTCGCTACTGCAAGGGAATGATTAACAGTATGCACTCTTGCAACTAAAATGATGAATATTTACCAAGCCAATGAGCTTTTAACTCTGTCTGATGTGACATGTCATTGACCTAATGACAAATGAACGAGCAGGTGGCATATAAAATTATAATTATGTTTACTACTGACTCCAAACAGATAGTAAACTATTCAAGAACTCTTAGCTAGTTTGATAATAGTAAATTTTCAACTGGGGAAAATAAATGGTCCAGTCCCAAAAAATAGTGATTTGCTTTGTGTATGTTAGTTGTTGACACCAATATTACTGACTTATCCATGGGGTCAGTTTACTCATGATGTTTTAACAATATGCAAATAGCAGTTGACGCTACTTAAATCATGATTTCCCGATAATGGACATTTTCCAACCATTTTAAAGAAATAAACTCTGGTTTAAAGGCTAACTCAGGTCGCCCTTACGACCTAGTCGCCAACAAAATTTGAAGATCGTACGTCAAAAACCGGCCAGACCATGAGTTCTCTTGCGATCAAAAATACGGTCGCCGACTGCAATCGCAGGAATAGAAACGGTTCCATTTCTATGCGGTGGTCGGCGACAAATCGTGAGTGGCAGCCAATCACCGCTATGTGTCGAGTCACATGATTATCAAAAGTCACGTGATTAACAAAATGGAGCCTACACAGCAGTTTACAAGGAGGGATTATTGCACAAACCCTTTCTCAAATATATATAGTTTTCCGTATATCACAGGGAATTTTTAAAATTCTTTTTCTGCACCTGTGATTATAACGATTTTCAGAAAATTGAGGATAGATTTACGAAGTTACTTGTTT